TTTTACTTTTGTACCTGTTATTTTATTGTAATTATATTTTATTATCTTTTACTTAATCCTTTACACTGTGTTTTGTGTATATTTATTATATTATCTTTAGTAATCCAATCATTGTAATTGGAAAATGTTTAGGTTGTGAGAAACTATCGATATTTGTTGTCTCTTAAGTATGGAGATTGCAAAATGAAATCCTGGGTGCAAATTGTCCACGCTGGGTTTGTCGTTTATACCTATGGGAAATTAGCACACACCACATAGGCTTGAGCGGAGTGACCTTGGGGGCAACTGAAAGTGGTATCTGACTTTGAAAGTAAGCAGGCATTCAATACTGTAAACTGAAACAAAGCAAAGATACAGGATTGTGACACTGATGATCTGCATTCAGAAAATAACTTCTCCACAGGCAAGACACTCTCCATGGAGAACATCTTCTCCACAACACACATGAACAAAAGAGCCTCGTGTTTGTAGATATTCTAGTTGTGTTTGTCAATGCTCTCACTAAACAATTTTAAGATGTCAAAGGAGACTTTAATCTTTTCTTCTTCTATACTTTCAACAAGTATAAAATCATTTGGCAGATAACTATTATATTTCTTGTCCAGTTTGGCACAATACCTTGTGATGTGCTGGACCTGTGCAGGCAGCATCAACACCTGTTGGCTTCAAATATCTACTTTCTCCAAGGAATCCATGATATTTTTGCAGATGCTGCAAGGACCATCAACTTGGCGAGTCAGCTTCCTTACCCTGTAATACTGTACACCAATGCCATCCTTTATTGGAGCAAACGCCTCAACTTGTGAAGTCTAGCATCGGCAAGTTCTTGTAGTTGAAGGGTCTTTGGACCCAAAGACTAATGCCGCACAAGGCATGTCTCTGATCGTTTTTATCAATTGGACAGCACTTGAACTTTTAGAGCAGGTGTTGACCGTGTAACATGAAGTGACTCCGGTTGGAGTGGTCAGTGTGCTTTGGGTTATTAGTGATCGTGCCAAGGTGCTCCATGATGTGCGGGGTGTTGCTGACCATGAAGCCTGGGACTGATTCTGTGCAAGGGCTGACAGTGCTGTGGAGTCCTGTAGCTCAGTGGTTAGAGCACTCGCCTTGCAAGCGAGACACCTGGGTTCAATTCCCGGCAGGTCGAAACTTTGGGCAAATTTCTTTACTCCACACTCCTAATAATAATCCTTCCAAAACAAAAAAAATAAATTGGTCATTTTCATTCCATGACTGTTTGTGGGACACTGCTGTGCGCAATTGCCTGCCGCGTTTCACCCACAAATATACAGTTAATTCACTTTATAGCATATTCTGTTAAGTGCTTTGAGACGTCTAGAAGACATGAAAAGTGCTATATCAAATGCAAGGATTATTATAGTGCGGACTCGACGATTGATGATGTTGCCAAGGACTTTCTTGCTTCTGTAGCTGAGATTGTAAGGAAACTGAAGCTATAGCCTGCAAGGCATTCATCCTTTAAGCGGGACCCTGTCAAGGTAACAAGAAAAGAGAGTTATTAGGCAAAAGTAGAGGGCCTTTTAAGCGATTTTGGAAGCTTCCTCGGAGTAAGCTAAAACTGCAGCAAAGACAACTTATGACCAAGCATGGCACAAAGTCAGGAAGGTTACTAGAAATATAGGAAGTAAGAATAGGAAACTCATACAGGTATTATGGATAGAACTTACTCAGGTGAGGCTGACAAATATGTAAGGATGTTAGTTGACTCATTGCTGACCATGCCAAATCACTGTGAGGCAGTAATGAACAAGACAACTAGTTATTGCTATACAATTTAACCTAGCCGGACAAACGGGCAGGGTGGGAAGGAGATCAGTGCCGAAAAATTCCGGTTCCTAGGCCCTGGAAGCAGTGCAGAGCAGAGCAACAAAGATGATCTTACCTTGTTAGCTATGAGCAACGACGAGACAAGCTATGTCTCCTCAGTCTTGAGAGGGGACCCCATAGAGGTGTACAACATTATAAATGAAGTTGAAGAAGTAAATCCAGATCATCACTTTATGATGCATCATGAAAGTAAAACAAGAGGTAGGTTTAGGGTTATAAAGGGCAATTTCAGGACCTATACCAGGAAGTTTTTCTTTACCCAGAACAACAACTAGGAAACGTGGTAAAGACAAGGACCTAGATTCTTTTAAAGCACAGCTTGATGCAGTGATGGGGGTGGGGGTTAGGGTGAATGTTTTGGAGAGATAAGATCAGTTTGGCCAAAGTGCCTCCTTCATCCAGAACAATCTTGTGATCTTATGTCTTAGAGGGGATCTTTTTAAGGTGTACAATATGTTAAATGGGATTCAGGAAATAAATCCAGAACAATACTTCAAGATGCACGAAGACTGTAGGATATAGGTTTCGAGTTGCAATTTCAGTACAGCAACCAAGACGATTTTCTTTACTCAGAGGGTAATACTGGTAGGTTGGGTGGTTGAAGTCAGTGCACTGGACGCGTTTTAAAAGCAGCTTGGTACTTTGGTGGGGATACTGGAAGGATGAAATCAAGTCGACTGAATGACCTTCTTCATTAAACCTCTCTTGTGATGACCCCAATTGGCCATGCATCTTTTAATATACTAGTCAGATCTGACTAAATACATGTACTGTGAAACAAAACTTATGTTCATAATTTTTTTACGTTTTGTCAGAAATGTATGGAATATATCATTGGTTTTAATTCGAATAAGCAGATCCACGAGTTACAATACCTCAACCTTTGCACCAATACCCTGCTTCATTAAATTTTAATGTTCCTGACTTTGAAAGGAATGATAAATATACTTCCTCCAGTTGAAAATAATTAAAAACTCAATGGGAGCTCTGTATAGCAAGCAGAAAAGTCATATGATGTACATTAAAAGGATAAGTGACCTGAAAACTTTCCTGGTGCACTGTGCTGGGTTTGGATTGTTACCCATTGCATGTGGCGAAGAACGTCATTGAAAGATTAGGGATTCTATCTTCGTTTAGGCTGTTAACTGCCTGTGATATATGAACTTCTATTGTCCTTTTCTCTGCTTTAGCTATTATGTACTTGAAATGTAAAATATCATAGGTTCCAGAAGCACAACAAGACACAGTAAATTCAAACAGAATAACAAGAGAACACTCATACAAAAACAATATGTATTGTTTTTGTTTTATTTGGCAAGAGAAATTTGTAAGTTTTCAACTCTCATCCAGACTTCAATCAAACTTGAGGTTGTCAACAAGTTCCACAGGATCTTAATTTTGTTTTAAGCTTTGCATTTGTCAATACAGTTTGTATTCACTATTTCTGTTTGAGTTTTAACTGAAGAAATATTGGCATCACTGGTTCGTAGTCCAAGTAAAAGCATTGCAAACTGCTTTTGTTTATGTAATTTTGGGATCAATTATTTTGTCAGGATGTCACCCGAGTTTAAAACTTGGTAAAAGTGGAAACCATGTGATCCTGGTTCATTATTTTACAATGACATGAATCACAAGGGAGGTCACATCCATCTGATCAATGATTGAGGAGTACAAGTGCTTTCAGTTCTGAGCACACATGACTACAATTTTGAATAAGTACTAAAATTCTTTATTCTAAGCATATTAACGTATTTGTTTATTGAAAATATTCTGGAGCTGTTTCAGGAAAAATAAGGTAGAGGTGTATTTAAGAAATAATGTAATTGAAGGATGTTGTCTCGGCATTATTAATCCCTGAACAATGCTTGTTTATGCAAAATCAGATAAAGTGTATTCCTAATTGTCCCAATTCAATATATGGAAAACTCATTAAAACATTTTGCAGTCATTATTCAGATTCTAGTGAAGCTCGCGTTCCCACTCTCTATAAAACGTAAGATCTTGTATGTGAAAGATATTATGTAAGTGCACGTTGTTGTATTAGTTTGACACCAAGGTAATATCAGTATTGGTTGTCACATTACAGATTCTCAGACCAAATCAATGCTATCCATCAATGGCTTTGGGAACCAACTGATAGCATGAAAAGTAAACATTGATATAGCATCCTTCACTTCTCAGAGAGCATTAAAGAGATGGTGCCTGACACTCAGGAGAGTATGGGAGGAGTGAGACAACCATACGATGGTTTTTAGGTTTTTAGGTCTCTTTTTCGAGAAGGAGTGAGAGTGGGGTTTAGAGAGGGAGTTCCAGAGGATGGTGGCATTAGTGGCTGAAGGCTTGGCCACTAACGGTGATGTGTAGCAGGCTCAAGTTTGCTGAGCAGAGGACTGATCAGAGGAGTATTTCTTCTAATCTTGTTTAGTTTGTACTGATTTTGGAGCTGATTTTTTGCATTTTATAAAAAGTATTTCTTTTATGCAGTTTGATAAACGGTAAGTAAAGCATAGCCTCACTAATGTTAAGTGGATTGTAAAATATTACTGAGACAGTAAAATTGCAGTAGTGCTATAGTAATACATGGGCATTGTATGTTAGGCATATATGGATTACACAGATAATTTCTATCACAATAATATTTTCTTTTTTATAATTTTATCCTGCTTGTAATTTTTTAAATTAACTTTTAAAAAGATTACATGGCTATGTTCTACTATTATGTTCATTGTATTGGCACATTGCAAGAAATGTTTGATCTATTTTTTTATAAGGTAGAATTCTTTATTTTGTACCATGAATGTGATCTAGAGTACTTCCTGTGCCTTGGACAAGAACATGTTGACAGCACTGTGGTATGGTGCACTTCCCTAAGTAGCCTTCTAGTTGTATTATCCCATTCAGTTAATGAATATTTTACCCTGTATATATTAGTGCATTTTTTCTTTTTGAACACAGAAGTAGCATTTTTTTAAATTTGGTTTTGCTCACCCATTGGCATTCCTTCTAGGTACTTTGACTGACCAAAAAAGATGACAAGAAAATGGCACTAATTATTTAAAAAGGAATCATCCTTAATAATATACTTTCTGTGAAAATGGCACTTTATTTCAAAGGGGATTCCAATGTCACTCCATTATTCATTCCATTTGCAGATCTTCTTTTAAGACTTGATGAAGATAAAGGAGTCAAATGCAGTACACCCAAGGTGGCAACAAGGGAAAAGTTGGATGAATCATTAAAGCAGGTAAACTCATTCATTATGAACTTACTTAAAGAGGTGATTATTATTGCATATACAGGATATCAAAACATAGTTGTTTTAGTTAGCCGAAACTAGTAAACTTTGTTTCTAGCACATGCACTGCAGGTGGTGCATATATTATATTTCATCCTTGATCTACAAGCTTTGAAATTCATAGGTTGTTGGTTTAATATTTTTCCTGATTGTTAATAAAGAAAAATGTGTGCAGTAAGAATTCCTCTCGCTTTTCTTTAAGCCTTCCATAATTTTAAATCATGATTTTAGATCATGGAAGTGATTCGGATAAACACCAGTTAGCCGGACTGATGTAGGGGAGATCCGGTCCAGCGAGTGAGAATTTCTGGCTAAGTGTAATTACAATGCTGGTCATGCAAAAAATACATGTCTGGTGCCACAAAATGCAGATGATGGAATTTGCAGCATTTTCCAGCACTGCAAATGCATTTCTACTGCTGTAAATCAAAAAGTAGTTACTCGCTCACCAAACACTGCATGCCAGACAATTAATGGTGAGGTGGGAAGCTGTAGGCATCACAAGGGCTGCAGGTCAGTGCAGTGTTGGTGTGCGCTAGGAGAGCTGGGCCATTGGGAGTCTTCACATAAGGCCTGTGGAATTCTTTAAAAATTTTCTGGTTTCGGTTTGCTGTAGTTCTATTAGTAAACTGTTGTATAACTACCAAGACTCTCAGAAGCTTACACACTGCAATATCCTTGAATGAGACACTTGGTGTAATGTTAACAAGATTACATTTTGCATTCCTTTCACTTATGGTGTTTATTTGCCAGAACTTGGTTTTGTCTAGGTTTCAATCTAAAAACAAAATTTGAGGATAGTCTTTTGTTAGAACCTTTACGTTGAATTATATCTCTACATTTTGCATTGCTTGCTTGTGATTAGCAGTAAATTAAATTTCCAGTACTTCATCTCATTCATAACTTCAGAGAGATGCAATAGTTATTTTAATGTTCAGCAAAGAGTGAAGTAAAACAGGTTTTGAAAATGTTTGACTTTCATTGAAGTAGAACAACTTGCCAGGACCAAGAGGAAAGTTTGTGTGTGTGTTTATGTATGTATGTGTGTGTGTGTGTATATATACATAATCACACACACAGCACATATGTACACTGTATGTGTGTGTGGTTTTCCTCTTCTGCCTGTACCTTCCAAAAGTGTTGTTTTTAGAGAATTAGATTTGGATTTCAGACATAGATCCTTGAAGATTTTAGCTTTGTTCTAACAAACTAAGTAAAACATTTATTGTTGTTTGGATTGATGACGAGGGTTCCCAAAAACTATCATTCCTGCCAGAGAGATGAATGTAATCTAAGACAAGCTTTCACATTTTCCCCTTGAACATACAACAAAAGATGTATGAGCAAAAGTGTTTGTTAAAAAGTAAACGTCTCTGAGTACCTTCATACCATATAGATGCAACAAGGTTTTTGCAGCCAGAAATCTGGGATGGCTGGGCTACTTAGCTTGGAATTCATACAGAGGTAGAATTCCATACCTATATAATCTGCCTCCTACTGGTTGAATTAAAAGCAAAATAATTAATATGTAGAAAGGAACAACCATGAAAGGAAAAACAAAAATGGGGAGGGGAGGAATATATAAATAAGATAATGCATGAATCCACATTAGAGCATCCCAAAAGAGAGTTGTGATGTATAAAATATGTAAACCGATAAAATATGCTAATGGCCCATCTTCTCTCCTAGAGTGTCATAAAAAAACATTTATACATTTTCTGCTACAAATGAATAGGGTAGATATTCAAATTAGCCTCAAACCTCTGAATCATCATTCTATAGAGAAACCTATTATGCATTAATGGTACATGGTTGTTTTATTATTAGTGCATTTTCTTCTTTTGAATATGAATAGTTATTCTGAATAATAAAAAATGTTTGAATATTACATTCTTACAATTATTGTTCAAGTGCAACGTCTACCAATTTATTAGGTGTATTAATTACTATTATTGATTTGTTCATTTAGTCCAAATGGGTGTAGTTTAAGATTTAGAAACCGTCTGTATATGAAAAAACTCAATTTGAAATGTTTTGCATCTTATTTCAGTTTCTATCTTATGTTATTTTCTAATGTTGGCATTCTGTGCTTATTTCATTATGCCTTCCTCACGTGCGTAATCATGTGCTTTCTTAAAAGCACCGTTTTGTGTATGCAATACAGACTGAGAATTTTGTATGGCTGTAAAATTTTGTATCTCCCAAAATCCACACAGATATCAATCATTTCACGGTTTATTCTGTGAAGCGCTTTGAGATGTTTCAACGAGGAATTATATCAAATGCAAGGATTGTTATTATTATTGTATTTGTGCTTTGGCATTTTAAAATTTGCTGCATAAAAATAGCGAATGGTACCCTACGTTATCATTGCTTGCAATGGTTTTTTCTATTTGTTCCAAATATCACAAAACATTTGCATATATTCATGGGATAAGAAGTGGTCTGTCTGAGTGTTAGCAGAAAAAGGAAATATAGATGACAGTGCAAAAAAAGTGGAAATGCATGTAAGAAATTTGAGAATTTAAAAAAAATACAGTAAATATAAGAATATGAAAGTATTAAAAGAGAAAAACAGTTAAGTAATGAAGGTGAGAAAAATAACAAATGAGAATAGAAACAGTTGCATATAAAGATGTAACAAAAAATCATATAGCAGTAAAGCAATGCACTGGGTTGTGGAAAGTTGAGATAGAAGAAGAAAAATAATCTCTTTGGTTGCCTTTCCCCCTCGCCATTTCTCTCCTGAAGGTCATGACTCTTGCTGGGTGGGGGATGGTTTCAGAGGCAAAGGCAGCCCCTGAGACCTCATGCAAGTGACCATTTGTTAGCTTACTAGTGGGTATTGGCAACCTAATTGACCATGGAGGCTATCCCAGCTGTGTTTAATTATTTTGTCACTCCAATGTTCAAACAGACACACTTTCCAGAAGGAATAGCTGGCGAGCAATCATGAGCAGAAACTGATTTTTGCATCTGCAAATACCACCAGTGGTTGAACAACCAGCTAATCTGATGCTCTGGTTCACACATCAATAATGACCACTTGGGTAACTAGCACCCATGAAAATATACTTTGGTGTAACCAAATGTTTTCAGGAATGAGAAGAAAATAGACAAGAAAGGAGGAAACTCAGTTTTGCAAATGTACCTGTTTTTAATAAAAATAATGTACATTAAATATTTGCATTATGAGATATGGAACCTGGAACTAATATTGTTGGATTGTTGTTTGATATTTTACATGAGTGTACTTACAGTCATGGATTGAAAAATTAAAACCCATTTAAAATTAAAAAATATCAACTGATGAACTATTTAATTATGAATTTTTACTTGAAATGACGCAGCGAAGCTTTTGGATCAAATTTACAAGTATTAAGTATTCTGTGAAGCGCTTTGAGACGTCTTGAAGACGTGATAAGGCACTATATCAAATGCAAAGATTATATTTTTATTATTATCCCTCTTAGCTAATGTGATGAATGCCATTCAAAGGTTGCCTTTTACAAGAGGCTGTATTTTACTTTTCACTCTTAAGAACTGCTGTTTGAATTCTAAATGTACCTTAAAGATGCTTGTGAGAGGAGCAGTTGCTGGTACTTTGTGAATTGGGTATTAACTTGTAAGGAGTAATTTCCAGGAGATGATACTGTTGTGTGTAGTTGTAACAAGTACCATATGGTCAGATAATGAAGGCTGTCATCGCATTATTACAGAATGACAAACATCATGTTAAATATAATAACATACAGCACAGGAAATGCTAAAATTCATTTGTCTTTAGGTAGAGTGAGTAATTGATATAATTCATGCACTGTAGTCTAGGGATGTCACAGGATTTATTTTGTTTCATCATATTTGATGTAGAAAAACTAATTTACTGAAGGGTTACTCCAGGATGGCAGAAATGCTGAAAAAGATGGTGGGAATTGCCTTGAGTAAGAGCCCTGCAGGCAATTCATGTGCATCTCTAACTTGTCTTAAAAACACAGACAATAATCTACTATAATGTATAGTTGTCCAATGCTGCCAGTACTGAATTGTACGATCAAACATTAATATTGGATGTATTCGTTTGCTGAGGTATGTCACGTGAAAATGTCTAATAGACTGCAGTTTGAAATGCATTAGCATCTTTTCTTTGTATTCTTTGGTGTAATAGGCTGTTAAAAGTTGACAGCAACAGTGAGCAGTATTAAACTTGTGCCTTATTGTACAAGTCACTGAAGATGAGGGATCAGTCAGAATATTTCCTTCTTTTTTTAAAGTGTTTAAATTAAATTTTGCATGCACCCTGCAGCAAGAAATATTTGAAATGTCATGTGTTCACAAGATATTACTGCATTGTCACTCTGAAAGTTAATTTTTAAAATGGGATTTGCTGCTTACTGTTAATAACTTGTTTTTAAGTGGTATTTCCTTTCATTCAGAAGGCAGTGAAAACTAAGCTTAATGAAACAGCAGTGTCTTAGGTTATAAGAGGATCACAATTACGACAAAAAACGTATTTATATGGATTATTCCAGGTTTCTGTCAAAAGGGTGTAATTATTCATAAAATGTCATTGATTGTTCAAAATAACTAATCTTTGAAAATTAATTGTTTAATTATTTAATAATAAATAATAATAATCCGTGGCAACCAATTGCATACAGCAGTATCCCACAAACAGTTGTGAATTGAAGTGACCAATTTATAATATTTTTAAGGAATTATTACCCCCGGAACAGCGATCTGCCAATCGACTAACAACCATTTCCTACATACTGCTTGGTAAATAGAGGTGTGTGGAGTGAGGAAACATTGTTGCTCCACATTTTGCCCCGCTGGGTATCGAACCCAGGTCTCTCGCTTGCGAAGCGAGTGCTCTAATCACTGAGCTAAATGACTCCATTTGAGAGTTTATGATGCAATTTTCCTTCCCTTCTTTCCCCCCCCCACCCCCACCACCACCACAATATAGATACTGGTGGACAATATAATAATAGCAGTGACATTCACATGTGCCACTGATAAGGTGATTGCCAGAGTGCACAACAGTAGCAAGGCTATGATTCTTCCTCTGATTTCCTCTCTGCTCTTGGCCACTGTTTAGTACTATAATGATAATAGTAATAATAATAATCCTTGCATTTGATATAGCGCTTTTCACGTCGGGAGGACGTCCCAAAGCGCTTCACAGAACACACTGTAAAGTGAATTGACTGTATATTTGTGGGCGAATCTCATAGTAGTGCAAGTGAGATTGATCGTTCGGTAAAGTGAGTAATTAACTTGGGTATTTTACTCCTCCTTGGTATTATGTATCAGTGCTCTAGTGGATTGTCACAACACACTGCCAATTTAATTCATTGTTGAAATACTATACTATATTATCTCATTTGTAAAATCCATTAATTGAACTATATGTTGTGTGGCTTGATTACTTTGTCTTGCAATTTTCTTAAACATCTGGGCTTTTTTGAATCTGCCGAATGAGTTTTAAAAACTTCTGTTTACTTGAAATATACAATTATTCAGCTGTAAGAGTATAACTGATCATGAGCATTAACACCAGATTATGTAACAGACTTGAACTGACTGTGTAACTTTATGGTGTGTGCTTTGTACATAACTAATTTATGACCAGAATTAAGTTTGAAATCAGAACTGTGTAAATACTTGATTGGAAAATTATAATATATATACTTGACTGGAAAATTGGAAGCAAGAAGCTAAGCTTCTCCAGTGCCCTTGAAAATCTTACCATTATTGTTAACAAAGTTTTAGGGCAATATTTGCGTTATTATTGGAGCACCATTTGCTTCAGAAATATTGCAAAAGAATGATGTACCCTCATAAGTAATCTTATAAAATGATAGTCTCCTCTTTGACATGTTAACAAATAATTTTATTTGGGCAAATCTTTGTAAATGAACAATGTGAAGTTTTGTACACAAATGTGACTATAATTAGGAAAGTAAAGGGCAGCCTCCATTAGAATGATCCCCAGTTGATAGTGGTACTTATAGTGTGGTACACCAACTTCTGGCACTGACAAGACTAAAACATGACCACCTTCCCAGGCATCAGATCAATGCTGATGTCAATTGTTGTACATTGTGTACATTCATGCTGTGCATAGGAGCATTGCAAAGGAAGTAATGTCAGTGATGTTTATTGTGCTTGGCTTGCATAAATGATGCAGAGAGTAACATTAGCGATGCTTCCTGCACATGGTGTACATCCCAGAAAGTGAAGACATGGGTGACCTGATAATCCATAAGCGATACTCATAGCCATTTGGTCGTGCACCTGTATCTAATAACTGGGTTGTCTTGTACTGTGTGTGGCCTGAATATTTGAGAAAATAGGATATTATGTTTAGTCGATCAGTTTTGATTTATAAAGTTTAACCATATAATTTTGATTTTCAAGTTTATTTGAAATTGCAGTTTCAGATCTCCAATTTGGAAAAGAAGCTCAAAAGCATTGAGAAAGATGCCAGACATTTGAAAGAAACAAATACGGAGTTAGCCCAAGCCAAAATGTCACTCAAAAGAGTCTTAGAAAATCAAGGCATGGAAATAAGAAAACTGCTGAAGGAGAATGAACAAATCAGAGAAGAGAAAAATGAGCTGCATGTGATGATGGATGAACTAAAGACAGAAGCATCATCTCTAAAGCGGCAAATTGCAGACACTACAAAATTGAGACATGAAAATGCAGCAGTTTTGCATCAAATGCAAGCACTGAAGAGGGTGCTTGGCGAAGCTAAGGCTTTCACTGCCAAAACCACAACTGCAGAGAGAGCAAGTTGTGGTCACTGCAGGTGTAAGACAGTAAACCCCAATGCCAGAGTAAGAATAAGGAAAAAGAATGCCATGAAACGGTACCAGAGTTCTCTCAATCGATCCATCAAGGAGATGAGCGCTGTGTTTGAGAACTTCAGTAAGGATGGGTGGGAGGACATTAGTGAAGACAGGTAGAGTTCTCATTAATTTTGCTCTGCCGAGTGGTCATTCTGCATATGCATACTGTAAGCAAATGGAGATTGGATTCCATGTACTTTCGATTTCATATTCAGGGAAAAATACTGTCAGATCTTTGAATAGTCATGGGATGTCTTGCTTCAAGCTTATTGACTGAAATTTGCATGTGAAATTAGCTACAACTGCATGAATGTTTGAATTGATGCCAGGAAATCCAGAATAAGGCAATGCATGATTTCTTTCAGTGATGCGATTTTCATGTAGTCATGAGGCTTGAAATTGACAGTTTGGCAGGTTGATTTAATTTGCTGGCCCTTTGCATATTCACCACTGACAGCTAAGGATTCCCAGGCAACCCTGCTAAGTCAGTTTAGTTATCTTGTGACATGTCGATCCAGGAGGAGAAACCAATTTTTTTCCCCTTAATTTAGTTAGATAAATTTTGAATGACCTATTTCAGCTTGCTACCAGATGCTTACAAGCTGTTTAACATCCTTTAAATTAAGAACTATCCACACTAATTATTTCATGTATGTTTTATGCACAGTCATTCAACTAATGTTAATTGAATGATTGTTGAAAATGAGGTGTTCTGTTATTAATTTTCATTCAGGGGGTGTTTTACAGTTGTGCTTTTCTGTGTTAAGACTGAAACTCCTGACTATTGTAAAGCTTTGTTCCTTCAATAAAAAAAACACTTTCCTACTGTTTTTCGAATCTAGTGACTCCAAGGAGACTGCCCCTGAGAGTTTGGGAGAAGTTATTGTAAAGTCTGCTCAGAAAAGAGCTCTACCAGCAGTAAAAAATATGGTAAGTAGAAAATTTTGCAGGAATGACAAAGAGATAAATTGTTAGTAAAAAGCCTTTTTTAAAAAATAAATCCAAAATTTGAGGTAACTTAAATTTATAAATGATGTTTTGGGTTGAAGCAGTGATAGTTTTTTTGTCCAAAAATGTGCAAACAACAACAGCATTTCCATAGTGCTTTTCACGTTCGGAGGACGTCCCAAGGAGCAAACGTAAGAAATCTAAAACAAAATTGAGTATTCTTTTCCATACTTGAGCTGTATTCTGAAAAATTTAGATGGCATAATTTAAGGATATAATCAGAATTAGTGCAGAAGATAGGTTGGTATTTTTATGGTGTTTGTCATGAAATTAAAATATTTCAAGTTATTTTGAAAAGGATGAAATATAATTTTTATAATAATAAATACTAATCTCAATAATTTGACAAAATATGTGCGTATCCAAATTCAAAATTAGTTCATCATTATTCAATTCCAAAACAAGGTTTGTCTAGATGAAATATTTGTGATTTTTCTGTCTCTTGAGCATGTTAGTTGATCCAACAATGCAATCCCACTGATTTTTTTTTATGGTTAGCTAATGCTGGTTGAGATAAATGGTTCGTAGCTACCATTATAAGTGCGTGCTAATTAATGAGAAGTTCTATATTGACAATTAATGAGTAGTATGTCTAGTTTTAGCATGGAGAATGCTGAATGCCCATGCTAATGTGAAATGTATTTTTCACTCAAGGTGTAGTACAGTTTAATATTATGGACCTCTTAACATTCATTTCTGAAATGGTAGATTTCATTCTTTTATAATTACAAGTAATTGATAAATTAACCAAATCAATTGGAAATTTACCAATCCTTCAGAATGACAGTACGGCATAAACTTCCTTATATAAGGATATCGCTTCATGGCCTTCTTCAGCACATCTATTGGAAGGAATTTCTCTTTTAAGTAGAGGAACATTAAAATATATGGGAATGTGAATGTAGGAGTCCTGTAGCTCAGTGGTTAGAGCATTTGCCTAGCAAGTGAGAGACCTGGGTTTGATTCCTGGCAGGGTGAAATGTTGGACAAGTTTACTTACTCCACACGCCTCTGTTTACCTATCAGTAAATAGGAACCCAGTTGTTTGTCGATTGGCGGATTGTTTTTCTGGGGGTAATAATTCCTTAGAAAAAAATAATAAATTGGTCACTCAATCACGACTGTTTGTGGGACACTGCTGTGTGCAATTGGCTGCCGCGTTTTGCCCACAAATATACAGTGAATTCACTTTACAGTATATTCTATGAAACGCTTTGAGACGTCTTGAAGACATAATAAGGCGCTATACCAAATGCGAGGATTATTATTAAATGTAGATGGCTCATGTGGAGAAAAATACAGTGCTATATTAATAATCCTTGCATTTGATATAGTGCCTTATTATGTCTTCAAAACGTCTCAAAGCGCTTCACAGAATATACTGTAAAATGGTTAGTGGTTTGAGGTTAGTGGTCAGTCGTTAGAGCACTCGCTTTGCAAGCGAGAGACCTGGGTTCAATTCCCGGCAGGGTGAAATCTTGGACAAGTTTCCTTATTCCACACACTTGATAATAATCCCTCAAGAAAAAAAAAGAATAATAAATTGGTCACTTCAATCCATGACTGTTTGTAGGACACTGCTGTGCGCAATTGGCTGCCAAGTTTCGCCCACAAAGATACAGTCAATTCACAGTACAGTATATTCTGTGAAGCGCTTTGAGACATCTAGAAGAAGTGAAAAGCGCTATATAAAAGACAAGGATTATTATTATTAGCGCTTTATCATGTTGTTGAATTGTCTCAATGCACTACACTGAATATACTATAAAATTGAATTGACTGCATCTTTTGTGAGTGACCAAAATATTATTTTATTTATTGTTTGAAGGGATTATTACACCTCTAATGCTATGTGCCAGTCAATTAATAACTGGGTTCCCAATTACTGCTAATTACAGTAAGTACAGAAGTGTGTGGTATTAGGAAATTTGCATAAGGTTTCGCTCTGCCCGGAAATTTAACCTGGGACCTCTCGCTTGCGTGAGCGAGTGCTTTAATCGATCTGCTACGGGGCTACAAGAATCAAATCTTTTCACAAAACTCAGTTGTTTCTGGTTCCAATTTTGTGTCCAAAACACATGTTGCCATTTAACAAACATTCATAATCTTTTCATTCCAATAGCAGTCTTGTTTGTGTTGTCATGGTGTACAGATATTCTTCTCAAAAATGAGTTGGCAGAATGTCTGCCCATGATTTTTAGTCATTTTTGTGGTTTGGGCACATTTCTCAGTTTGAGAAGTTTATTTGTACGATAATTTTTAGCCAGGTCCTCCTTTTCCCAAAGCATCTGTGTAATATTACAATAGCCAAAATGACTGATTTAAAATTCAAGCACAAATGTTAACACAAATAAAAATGGCCAAGTCAGAACCCAGTGCATCCATTTTTAAAACCATTTGACTTTTAATGTGTTAAACAAGAGGAAATCTAAGGTGAACTCTGCATTGAATTAGGTCTAAGTTATCATTGCGTAATGTCAAGTCAACATTGCACCAAGATCTGTTATTGCACAAATAAACTTCTCAAACTGAACAATGTGCAAAACCCACAAATTCACTTGGTATTTAACAGTGCATTTGGGAAGAAAAAATAACTCCATTTTATTTCCTCATGCAGTTGAAACCACAATTGTTTGTGAGAAATTTACAGGCTGAATATGGTTGTAGTGTAAATGGAAGAATCTAAGACGTTACAACTTGCCTAAGGCAATAGAGTTCGACCCAAGATTGTTTGACTCTTGTTGCCCAAAAAGATGTTATCACATCCTGTGCAAGAAATTGTAGTATTCACAAGGATTTGAAAGTCCAATTTAGATTCTTAATAAATGTTATAAATGTCTCAAAACAATTTGCAAAATTATTTGTGAAGGTAAGTTTACAAATTATTATTATTTTATTATTCATTCTGTACTTCATGCTGGCTACCAGCACTAAGGATCCATTGTCACCCTTCTATCGGATGATAAATCATGATTCTCTTTATCTACTTCATAACCTTCAATATTCTCAACTAAATAATTATCCAGGTGTTACCTGAAGTTAAATCAGTGCATGATAAAATAATAAACACATGTTTTTATGCACTATATATCTGGATCCTGATTTGAGTAGTTATCTAGCATAGATGCTTTTAATGAATGCTTTTAGAATATATTGTTTTCAAATAGTAGCCAGCAGTCAGCTATTCAGAAAGATTCAGGATTTTATCCTGTCAAATAAAGCACTTTAATGCCTTTGCCTAGAACTCCAGAATTTATTGTGTTTGTATTTCTTTAGATATCTGCTGAAGAAGGAAACAAACAAACAAGTAAACTGCAGAGCAAGATGAGAACTAAAGCAGAAGTTGACTCATCCCAATCTCTTTCCAACGGTATTGTGAATTCCACTCATTAAAGTGTCAGATTACAAAAGAAAAATGCCATTATGGAAAGTAAAGGAGAGCCCATGAACCTTTCTTTGACTTGCCTTACTTTTTGTGGCATGAGGATTTGAGAATTCATTGCTTTCAAAAGAACATAAAATATGACAATGAAGATTGATCCTTCTGTAGACTATGTATGATTTATGCTATCATCAAATATAGCCAAATTACTCAGTGCCTTGAGCTGAATAACCATAAGTAAAACTTATAAAAATAAAGCTTCGAAATGTCTCCCTGACTGCATTATGTAATCTATCTTGACTCCAGACGACTCCTCTTAACAGTACAATCTATGCTGTTCAGTCCTAATTACAGTAGCTGCATTTCACAATGACATTTCTATGCCACAGGAACCAATGAGCTCCACAGAGTATTTGATTCTCTACTTCATAGCCTTCAATGTTCTCAACTAGATAATTATCCAGGGGCTGGTTTCCAGTTTTTTTTACATTTTGTTTTAGATTTCCGCTATTTACGATTTTTTATTTGTTTTATTTTGAGTAAGATTGTGTTGAAGCTCCATGTCAGATCTTGAGCGGATATTTTTGACTGACATCGTAATGCAGTACTGGGGGGTGGCTCCATTGTCAGAGGTGGCATCTTTCAGATGAGAGGTTACAGTGACGTCCTATCTGCCTGTTTTTTTTAATGAAGTTTTGGGATCCTATGTCACTGTTCCAAAATTGCTCCCCAGGTATCTTGGCCATCATTTCACTTGGCCACTCACCTCATGCCTGTGTTTGACATGCTGGTATAAATTATGTGAGACTGTGCCAACAGAGAAACAGTCACTATACTCAACAGTAATTACTTGTAGAGTCGTTTGAAACATTTCAGCATAAGGCACTATAAAAATTAAAGTTATTTCTTTCCAATAAAACTGAGAGACTGGTAACTCCTTTTGAGCTTCATCTATTCCACATATCTATTATCTCTGGTGGAGTAGTCTCGCTGGAGGCTTGTTCATTTTGTATTTTTGCCTTCTCATCCTAAATTATTGCCTGAGGTGCTATCTACTTTGCATTTCATCAGAAGATGACAATCCCATCTTCCTAAGATTTTCCAAATATGAAATAACCGTCAGTTATACCTTGTGGATATGAAGAGAGGTTACTCTCTACGTAGTCAGAATTAAAAGTGCCAGAAGCAGGCCTCCACTTATTTATAAAACTTTGGGTATTCACAAAATAAACACCAACAAAATTACTTTGTAAAGCGCCTTTCATGTCGGGAGGACATCCCAAATAAATCCTCCACTATTGGCACCCAACAGACAAGATCCTACTTACAGGCTCAAGGGTGATCCCAAGTGGGCAGTCATTATGATTTCAAACAAGTGATTTTATGTGGCATTTTAAAGGCGTTCCTCTTGTAATAACTGAACATTTTTGTTTTGATTTTTGAGAGAAACATGCAGTTTTGCCAAGCTGTTTTCATCTCGGCTCAGGTTCCTAAAAGAGGCGAAGCCTTGTGATTTCTTGGCTACATGCTTTAGTTAACCTGTCATACAAGGGGGATGACTATATTCAAAGAATGAGTAATATAACCTTCAAAAGAGGTATTCTAGAGTTTCTAGGACTTTTAGGTGATAATTTGGGATTACTGGGTTCTTGCATCAGGAGCCAAATAGCTAAGATTGAATCTGGTATTCTAAATTAGTTAAGTACGTCACTGCATAATTGTGTCTGAATAATGAGACATAAATTGTGATTCTAAATTTAGTTTTAGACCAGTAGTAGAATTTTCATATTGAGTCAAATTCCACTGAATAATTTGAATTCAACCGGCAGAATTAATGACATATGGGGTAAGCTTCCATTTGATAGCTTCTTTTTTATTCAACCTATTTTCTGATTTCATTTTGTTATTTCTGTCAATATTCTCTTTAGAATTCCTTTTCATGTGTGGGAACCGCTCATTAACAAGTCATTGCAAGAAGACGAAAAAAAAATGCCGTAGCAAATTTGCCAGTAGATGGAGTTAATTTGAGACCCTGAGGACTTTTGTGTTCTACCATTAGTTTTTAAGCTGGCCATAATTAAGCTTTTCAGGAACATTACTTTTCTCTGATCATAATCTGTTTTACTTTTGAAACTTATTAAATTCTTGATTTTAAATGATTTTGATTAATAGTTCTTTGCAGCCATTGGACGTTTTGCTTTTTCACAGTCTTTATTTACAAGAACAAATCAGTAAATCCTATATTATTTAAAGATGTTAATGCCTTCGGAAGCTGTTAATTTTATTCTCAAGTTTTTCATGACTAAGTAAATGGCAGTCGTCTCATTTTTAAAGTTTACTATTGCTATTCAGTCCAGTTGTCTCTAATTCAAGCACATGCTGCTACTTATTTTTTCATATTGAAAAAACATTTACTCTTACAATTATATTCAAAATTATAGCCTGCAAGGAGAAGAAGCCGAGCCTAGTGTTGGTCAAGCGAAGTATTTCCTTCTGTGCGTTACAGCATCGTCTAAAATCGCTTCAGGGGCAGTTTACTGTCATTCAAAATGGAAAGAGAGCAGCCTTAAATGCTGTCCGTGAATTAAAGGAAAAGAAACAGAAATTAACATCTGAGTTGACTTTCGCTAACCAGAGGTTTCAAGCCAGCAAACAGACAATTCAGGTATGTTTTACTTTGATGCACGAAAAGGTTTAGTAAACCAGTGATGTCCAACCCATTGGGAACTGGCCAAATGTAGCCATTTTACTTTTCAGGTATGTGCACTTCCATATTGATGAATCAACTTACATTTCAGATAGATATAAAATATAGATCACAAAATCATTTGGTTCATGTGATTCAAAATGCATTTTTCTGCAATAATAATAATAATAATCCTTGAATTTGATATAGCGCTTTTCATGTCGGGAGGATGTCCCAAAGCGCTTCACAGAACACACTAAAGTGAATTAACTGTATATTTGTGGGCGAACGCGGCAGCCAATTGCGCACAGCAATGTCCCACAAACAGTCGTAGATTGAAAATGACCAATTTATTATTGTTTTGGTTTTGGAGGGATTATTATTAGGTGTGTGGAGTAAGGAAACTTGCCCAAGGTTTCGCCCTCTGCCTGGAATTGAACTCAGGTCTCTCGCTTGCAAAGCGAGTGCTCTAACCACTGAGCTACAGGACTCCACGTACAGTGGAACTTTATTGTCGTATATCAGGCATACGTCATATCAATAACAACAACAACAACAAGATTCCATTTATAAAGCGCCTTTCACGTCAGGAGGGCGTCCCAAGGCGCTGCACAGTTGGGTCATGATCCGAGCAGGGGGGAAATGGTCAGGGTGAGGGGAGGGAAGGGAGGGAGCGAGGAGGGGGGAAATGGTCAGGGTGAGGGGAGGGATGGGAGGGAGCGAGAAGGGGGAAGAGAGTCGAGAGGGGAGCTGAAGGCTCGGTCAAAGAGAAAAATCAGCAGCACATACTTGTTCAGGTTATACTGTGTGCTGTTATGTACAATGACATAGTGGAGTATTGCCATTTCAGTTGGTTGATGGAAGTAAAATGTTATTGCTGAAAATTTTGTTGCAAAGAAAAACTTACTGTTACTCATTTGCAATGCAAAAATGAGCATATATAATGCATAACATGTGCAAACAGTACACCTGTACAATAAATAATAATATAATCATATAATCCTTGCATCTGATATAGTGCTTATCACGTCATTCTAGGCTAAGTCCTTTTTTATTATAAGGAGGCATTTTCTGCATCTCAGTGACCCCTTGTCAATTTGGGTTGGACCACTGTACTAAATCTCAAAACTTCTGGGATTTTATGGATCCCAACAATAATTATAATATTATTATAATATCCTTGCTTTTAATATGGTCCTTATCACGTCATTGCGACGTCTCAAAGTGCTTCACAGAATATACTGCAAAGTGAATTGATTATATTTTGTGTGCGAAACGCGCAGCCAATTTTGCACAACAGATTACATTTAGTGAGGTTCCATTGTACTTTCAGTGGAGTCCTGTAGCTCAGTGATTAGAGCACTCGCTTTGCAAGTTAGAGACCTGAGTTCAATTCCAGGCAGAGGGCGAAACCTTGGGCAAGTTTCCTTACTCCACACAGAGCCTAATAATAATCCCTCCAAAACCAAAAACAATAATAAATTGGTCATTTTGAATCTACGACTGTTTGTGGGACATTGCTGTGCGCAATTCGCTGCCGCGTTCGTCCACAAATATACAGTCAATTCACCTTACAGTGTGTTCTGTGAGGCGCTTTGGGACGTCCTCCCGACGTGAAAAGCGCTATATCAAATGCAAGGATTATTATTATTATATTTCTGGGATTAGATGAGCAGAATGCATCCATTCCAGACAAAGAGAAATTTCCATTCATATGTGGAACTCTGTCTGATTTGGATTCTCTTAAGTACAGCAATATGATTATAATACTTATAATTCTTGCATTTGATATAGCGCCTTATCACATCTTTGAGATGACTCAAAGCGCTTCACAAGTAAATTGACTGTATATTTATTATGTGTGAGTTAAGCATTCGTCAAACAAAAAAAAACATCCAAACAGAATAATGTTCTCAGTGGTGTTCATGGCAAAGTTTTTAGCATGATAAGTGAAGGAGCAATCTCCTTATTCCTATTGGCTTGGTGCAGTCAGACATTGTCTTCATGTGGGAAGAGCTAGTCCTTATTTTCAAATTTGGATTGGAATAAGAAAACATCAGAAAATAAATGGAAAACCCATTTATTTGTGTGTGGTGAACGCCTCTGTTCAAAAGAATGTAGACACTGCAAGGTAACTAATCTCTATGCTCCCCATTTTCACTGTTGTGTAAACACTGTCTTAGCTCTGAGACAAGTTGTTGCCCTAGCATCTCCTGATCTTTCTGACTTGCTTACACCGCACTCCTCAACCTTCTCCCTTCCTTCATCTGGCTCCGGCTATCTGCAAATCCGTCAATGCTTCAGCTTCGCCATCGGCGGCCGTATTATCACCCACTACGCTGTGAAACTTTGACTCTAGAACTCTCTGCCTTAATCCCTCTTGTTTGTTATCAGATGACACCTGAAGACCATCCTCTTAGATTATGCCTATGGTCACCTCTCCTCTCTCCCAGGCTCGCCATCAAGTTCTGTCAAGTTAAGCGCTCTGAGATGCTGTCTAATGTGAAGGGAACTTTATAAATGCAAGTGCTGTTATAATAATAATAATAATCCTTGCATTTGATATAGCGCTTTTCACGTCGGGAGGACATCCCAAAGCGCTTCACAGAACACACTGTAAAGTGAATTGACTGAATATTTGTGGGCGAACGCGGCAGCCAATTGTGCACAGCAATGTCCCACAAACAGTCGTAGATTGAAAATGACCAATTTAATTATTGTTTTTGGTTTTAGGAGGGATTATTATTGTATTGTTGTAGTGCCCTAAAATGTTTTGCTCAATGCATGTGTAAACTGATTTATGTTGCTGCATTTTTTTCAGATTCAACAGAGCTGACAGAACAGTCACCTCTTTTCAATCTGAAGAAAATACCATAACAGTGCACTGTACATTTAGAACATGGACGGTAAAGATATGAGCTTAGTGCTGACTGCACTTACTTTATATTGTGACTAGCACTAAGAAAACCAATATGGGACCAGACTGATGGGATGACAGCTCTCCTCTCACCATCAATTGTAATCAGGCCTATGAAATCTCACTCGTTAAGAATAATATTCAGTTTCAAAATGTAACCTATTTTGATATCTGACATGCTTAAAAATACCTATAGCTGCATTTCTTTAAATAGTATTGTAATCTCTTACCTTTATGATCATAAATCTCCCCCCTTAAATTTCCTAAATGTTGAATGCCGTGCATAAGGATCCAATGTGAAATGAGTTTCCGCAGTCTTGTTTCAGTTGAGTACAATTTGTCAGTGTCTTTTGTAGGAAAATTGAATCAACGGAGTGTATTTTTCCAAGATACAGCACCAAGATTACATTGGTATAGCGCCTTTCACGTCGGGAGGGCGTTCCAAGATGGGGTTAAAGAATACTGTTGGGCCAGAGTGCAACAAACCTGATGCTGGTAGTGTAATGCTCAAAGTGGGAAAATGTTCTACTTTGCACCTCTGCAGTGTCCCACAAACAGTCGTTGATCGAGTGCCCAAATTATTATTTTTTTTCTTGAGGGATAATTATCAGGCGTGTGGAGTAAGGAAACTTACCCAAGGTTTCGCCCTTCCGGGAATCGAACCCGTGTGTCTCACTTGCGAGGCGATTGCTCTAACCACTGAGCTACAGGACTCCGCAATGTAATGTGTAGTATCAATGTAAAGCTACAAAATGCCTTGGTTATAACTTGCAATGCCGTTATTATAGTTTCCATATACAGATGGGACCAAACAAAGATTACCGTCATGGGGGAAAATTATTCCCCAAATGACTGATTTTCAGGTATTGAATATTCACAGTGAGGATTGATATTCTTCAGTTTTCTTTTGTTTAAAAAAATTGGTACTGACCTTCCTGTCTACATAGGGCTAAAGTCAGTGCTCTAATTACAGAGACCACTTGCTTATCCATATCTTTTCGATTGATATGCTTTAACATATTTCTATTCATAGACAGAAATTTTAGAGCATTTCAACTTGAAACACTGTTCTTTTGTCTTTTTTTTATAACTTGGCTATTCGGTTCTTCAGAAAATGTTTTGAAAATGCCACATAAATTAACTCAAAGTATCAGAGATTTGTATTTCTAGTTCTTACTGTCTGTTTAAAGAAAAGGAACACAGCAATATTAGCTGACCTTTGCAGTTTGGTAGCAAATTCTCTCAGGGATCAGCTTGAATCATAATTGGCCTCTCTAAGTCTGAGACCAAAGTCCCTGACTTCTTACTAGCAGTGTGGAGAGTGGTGTAAATGCCACATTCCTGTATATGAACAATTGTACAGATCATATCACACTGCTACTCTGTCTTGGGAAAGCCTTATCTTGACAAGGAGATTAATTATCAAATAGATATTAAGGATCCTACTCAGACACTCATCAGGATACAGGGCAGGGTTTAATATTAGAAAAAGTACATTGGGTCCACTGTAATGTACTGATGGCCTGGAAGGTAATTGTAGCTGCCCAACAGAACTGATCAACATCTATTTCCAGCATGTATTTTAAAGGCTGGAGTTTTTCTTTTGAGTTGTGGTACTCTGCTGGGATTTATGCTGCACCTTAGCGTTAGCATGATGGTTTTAAATAGAAATCTGACTTGTGTCTCAACACTATTTACGTACAAATGTGGAGCTATAGTTTTTCTTCTGTGCAGCAAAAATCAATAAACTGTCTTTTTAAGATATTTTGGATAAATAAGATATTTGTTGGTTGCTTTAGTTTACAGCAAAAATTGATGAAAGCAGACCTCAACATACAATTATGTTTCAACATTGAAGATGTTTGATTTTTAATTTTAATGAGAAGGTCTCTTTTGGATCTGAAAGTAAAATTAGTGAAAAGTGATTTCTGTGGTTATACCTTGTGTGTAAATGGATTTAACATTTATCATAGGGGAATACTGTGAAAGATGCAGTACATTTTGATGATTTTAAAATTCACTTTTTGTGGGTTAACAAAAGATGTATGCTGCTTGTTCAAAG